GAACGGAAGTAGATGAACCCACTGTCCTGTGACCAGCGGGACGCACGGGTGCCATGTGTCCTTGTAAAGCCCGCCGATCGGGACGGGCGTCTGGAAGGCCGTCTCGAGCGCCGCCTGGTACTCGCCGACAATCTTCGCCGCCGGGAGAATCATCGCGCACGTATGGCCGGCGAGGAGCATCTCGGACGCGATCCACAAGTCGTGAACGTCGTGAACGAGGGCGAGATTCCCGTTGAGAGAACCCTCGACGCTGGAATGGGGTCCCGGATTGACCGGCGGCGACGTCCGCACGATGACGTCGGCGCCGTGGCTCCCATTCCGCGCGGATGCCACACTTTGGCCGAGCCGAGTCGTCGCCGAGGCGCTCTCAAAATCGGCAGTGCTGTTGCCATCGCGGTTGATGATATGCCACACGAACGTGCCGAGGATAACTTGGGTCGAGCGCTGTAGCCACTGGTCCTTCTTGCCTTTCTGTTCGAGGAGCGCGACGACGTTCGACCAAGCTGCAGCAGATATATAATTATCGCGCACGTACGCGACCGACGAATTGAGCGGCTTGCACAGCGCGACGAAATCTGCCCATCGCGTTGGACCCGCGAGGTCATCGGAACCCGCGCCGAAGACGAGCGGTTCGGGGCAGCGCGACGCGAGCAGGTGAAGATACGTCCGGGCCTCGCCTGACATACGCGAGTCGCCGACGAAGGCGCGCGTCGTCTGCGCGAGGCCGCGGAGCAACGCGACCTCCCGCGCCACGTCGTTTTTGAACTTGCGCGTCGAGCAGCTGTTCCCGCTGAGTCGCTACCTCTTTCCCGCTCGACGTGGACTCCAGACTCGCTGTCGTCATCGCTGCGGCGAATTCTGCCAATTCCGCCTATTCCGCCTATTCCGCCAATTCTGCCTCCTCCGTGGCCCGGGAGATCATCCATCAATTCCGCCTATTCCGCCTACAGTGGGATTTCTCTATAGCACCTTGCCGTCAATCGACGCCAGAGGGGTCGTCGATCGGCGCCGATTGTACCGCTTTT